GTGTCTCCTGGGTGTGTCTCCTGGGTGTGTCTCCTGGGTGTGTCTCCTGGGTGTGTCTCCTGGGTGTGTCTCCTGGGTGTGTCTCCTGGTGTGTCCCCCTGGGTGTGTCTCCTGGGTCTGTCTCCTGGGCCTGTCTCCTGGGTGTGTCTCCTGGGTGTGTCTCCTGAATGTGTCTCCTGGGTGTGTCTCCTGGGTGTGTCTCCTGGGTGTGTCTCCTGGGTCTGTCTCCTGGGTCTGTTTCCTGGGTCTGTCTCCTGGGTGTGTCTCCTGGGTCTGTCTCCTGGGTCTGTCTCCTGGGTCTGTCTCCTGGATGTGTCTCCTGGGTCTGTCTCCCGGGTGTGTCTCCTGGGTGTGTCTCCTGGGTCTGTCTCCTGGGTGTGTCTCCTGGATGTGTCTCCTGGGTCTGTCTCCTGGATGTGTCTCCTGGGTCTGTCTCCTGGGTCTTCTCTCCTGGGTCTGTCTACTTGATGTGTCTCCTGGTCTGTCTCCTGGGTCTGTCTCCTGGGTGTGTCTCCTGGGTGTGTTCTCCTGGGTGTGTCTCCTGGGTGTGTCTCCTGGGTGTGTCTCCTGGATGTGTCTCCTGGGTCTGTCTCCTGGGTCTGTCTCCTGGGTGTGTCTCCTGGGTGTGTCTCCTGGGTGTGTCTCCTGGGTGTGTCTCCTGGGTGTGTCTCCTGGGTGTGTCTCCTGGATGTGTCTCCTGGGTCTGTCTCCTGGGTCTGTCTCCTGGGTCTGTCTCCTGGGTGTGTCTCCTGGATGTGTCTCCTGGGTCTGTCTCCTGGGTGTGTCTCCTGGGTGTGTCTCCTGGGTGTGTCTCCTGGGTGTGTCTCCTGGGTCTGTTTCCTGGGTCTGTCTCCTGGGTGTGTCTCCTGGGTCTGTCTCCTGGGTCTGTCTCCTGGGTCTGTCTCCTGGATGTGTCTCCTGGGTCTGTCTCCTGGGTGTGTCTCCTGGGTGTGTCTTCTGGGTCTGTCTCCTGGGTGTGTCTCCTGGATGTGTCTCCTGGGTCTGTCTCCTGGATGTGTCTCCTGGGTCTGTCTCCTGGGTCTTCTCTCCTGGGTCTGTCTACTTGATGTGTCTCCTGGGTCTGTCTCCTGGGTCTGTCTCCTGGGTCTGTCTCCTGGGTCTGTCTCCTGGGTGTGTCTCCTCGGTGTGTCTCCTGGGTGTGTCTCCTGGATGTGTCTCCTGGGTCTGTCTCCTGGGTCTGTCTCCTGGGTCTGTCTCCTGGGTGTGTCTCCTGGATGTGTCTCCTGGGTTTGTCTCCTGGGTGTGTCTCCTGGATGTGTCTCCTGGGTCTGTCTCCTGGATGTGTCTCCTGGGTCTGTCTCCTGGGTGTGTCTCCTGGATGTGTCTCCTGGGTCTGTCTCCTGGATGTGTCTCCTGGGTCTGTCTCCTGGGTCTTCTCTCCTGGGTCTGTCTACTTGATGTGTCTCCTGGGTCTGTCTCCTGGGTCTGTCTCCTGGGTCTGTCTCCTGGGTCTGTCTCCTGGGTCTGTCTCCTGGGTCTGTCTCCTGGATGTGTCTCCTGGGTTTGTCTCCTGGGTTTGTCTCCTGGGTGTGTCTCCTGAGTCTGTCTCCTGGGTGTGTCTCCTGGATGTGTCTCCTGGGTTTGTCTCCTGGGTGTGTCTCCTGGGTGTGTCTCCTGGGTCTGTCTCCAGGGTGTGTCTCCTGGATGTGTCTCCTGGGTTTGTCTCTTGGGTGTGTCTCCTGGGTGTGTCTCCTGGGTCTGTCTCCTGGGTGTGTCTCCTGGGTCTGTCTCCTGGGTGTGTCTCCTGGGTCTGTCTCCTGGGTGTGTCTCCTGGGTCTGTCTCCTGGGTGTGTCTCCTGGGTCTGTCTCCTGGGTGTGTCTCCTGGATGTATCTCCTGGGTCTGTCTCCTGGGTGTGTCTCCTGGATGTGTCTCCTGGGTCTGTCTCCTGGGTGTGTCTCCTGGGTGTGTCTCCTGGGTGTGTCTCCTGGGTCTGCCTCCTGGGTGTGTCTCCTGGGTTTTTCTCCTGGGTGTGTCTCCTGGGTGTGTCTCCTGGGTTTGTCTCCTGGGTCTGCCTCCTGGGTGTGTCTCCTGGGTGTGTCTCCTGGATGTGTCTCCTGAATGTGTCTCCTGGGTGTGTCTCCTGGGTTTGTCTCCTGGGTGTGTCTCCTGGGTGTGTCTCCTGGATGTGTCTCCTGGGTCTGTCTCCTGGGTGAGTCTCCTGGGTCTGTCTCCTGGGTGTGTCTCCTGGGTCTGTCTCCTGGGTGTGTCTCCTGGGTGTGTCTCCTGGGTCTGTCTCCTGGGTGTGTCTCCTGGGTGTGTCTCCTGGGTCTGTCTCCCGGGTCTGTCTCCTGGGTGTGTCTCCTGGGTGTGTCTCCTGGGTCTGCCTCCTGGGTGTGTCTCCTGGGTGTGTCTCCTGGGTGTGTCTCCTGGGTCTGTCTCCTGGGTGTGTCTCCTGGGTGTGTCTCCTGGGTGTGTCTCCTGGGTCTGTCTCCCGGGTCTGTCTCCTGGGTGTGTCTCCTGGGTGTGTCTCCTGGGTCTGCCTCCCGGGTCTGTCTCCTGGTGTGTCTCCTGGTGTGTCTCCTGGGTCTGTCTCCTGGGTGTGTCTCCTGGGTGTGTCTCCTGGGTGTGTCTCCTGGGTGTGTCTCCTGGGTGTGTCTCCTGGGTCTGTCTCCTGGGTGTGTCTCCTGGGTGTGTCTCCTGGTCTGTCTCTGGGTGTGTCTCCTGGGTGTGTCTCCTGGGTCTGTCTCCTGGGTGTGTCTCCTGGGTGTGTCTCCTGGGTCTGTCTCCTGGGTGTGTCTCCTGGATGTGTCTCCTGGGTCTGCCTCCTAGCTGCCTTTCTGCCTTTTCTCTTTGTTTTTATTTTCGTCCACTGTTTTAATCCTGTTTTATTGCCTCTCTTCTCGGATCCTTATTTCTTCCCCCGTGACTTTCCAGTCATTTACACTTTTCCTTTCCTCTCCTGTCTTTTTTTTTTTTTTTTTTTTTTTTTTTTTTTTTTTTTTTTTTTTTACAGAGGGTTTGACAAGGTTAAGGATCCCTAGCTTTATTGACAAGCTATTTACAGGTTAAGGATTCCTAACTTTATTGGCAAGCTAAGAGCTGTTACCTACATCAGCTCATTTGAAAGCATTTTTATTGTTATGAGACATACAAGTAGGGAACAGGATGAAGTTGGAGCCATCTGTAGGCAAGCATTTTCATTTGATCAACTGACTTTATCTGGTTGACATCATTATGCTGTACGAATGTGTTCCATACTCGAGTCATCCTGGGTATATATGATCTCAGATGGAGTTATGTTCTGAAGAAGGGTACAGCCAGAGTGAAGTTGCTGCTTTCTGCCCGTCTTGTGGCATAAAAGCTTGTTTCACGCTGTCCTCGAAGTGGATCTAAGTGTGGTATTTTGACAATATTGGCTTTGTATATAACAGTAAGGCCACCCACATCCCTCCTATGTTGAAGGCTCTGCTGAAATGACAGATCTATCCAGGATGGGTCCAGGCGAGAGATGAGACGTCTTGCTCTGTTCTCTACTCCGTCAATCAGTCGCAGTTGAGAGGGGGGGGGGCAGGCAAACCAAGAAAGTGGAGCATACTCAAGGTGTGAGCGTACTTGTGCCTCGTACAGAATCTTGCAATCCCTACTGTCAAGTAGATGCGAGATACGGCGAAGTGCTGTAAGCTTCTGGGCTGCCTTGTTTGCAAGATTTGCAACATGGTTCTTCATGGTTAGTTTGGAGTCAAATTTCACCCCAATGATATCAACTTCTTCTCCAGGTGCCAACACCCTCCCATTCATCCTTACTACTGCACCAGCATTACCATCATGGTCCTAGAGACGATCACCATTTGCGTTTTCTCAGGTGCAAATGTTACTTGCCATCTATTTCCCCAAGCTGATATAGCTCTCAGCTGGTGATTGATGTAGCTTAGAGCAGCTGGCATTTCTTCTCTTGGATAAGTGAATGTCAGTGTACAGTCTTCTGCATATGTATGTCATTCTGGGATTAGATGAAGAAGGTCGTTGAAGTAGACATTCCGTAACAATGGTCCCAGCACGCTTCCTTGTGGAACACTTTCCCCAATAGGATGTCTTGCTGATTCCGTTCCATTGAGAACTACACTTAGAGATCTACCGTGAAGGTAATCACTGAGGAGACATAGCGTAGAGCCTGCAATTCCCAGTGCTTGAAGTTTTGCTAAGAGGCCCTGGTGCCACACCCGGTCGAAAGCGCCAGCAATGTCCAGTGCTACCACACAACTGACTTTGGATTCATCCTCTCTTTCTCTCTTTCTCTCTCTCTCTCTCTCTCTCTCTCTCTCTCTCTCTCCTCTCTCTCTCTCTCTCCTCTCTCTCTCTCTCTCTCTCTCTCTCTCTCCTCTCTCCTCTCTATGTCTCCTCTTTCCTGCATCATCTTGCTCTTCTTCCTCTTCCCCCTCCCTCCACCCCTCCTCTTCTATTACCTCTCCCCCTCCCTCCTTCCACCCTCCACTTCTACCTCTCCCCCTCCCTCTCTCCATCCCTTCTCTACTTCTACCTCCCCTCTCCCTTCACCCCCTCCCCTTCCCCTTCCTCCCCCCTCCACCACCTCATCTTTCCATCTTTTTGTTGCAGCTTCCATTAGCAGTGTTGAGTTAATTACTTTGCTATGGTAATTCCTGCCCTGGACCTGATTGTCTTACGGCGTGAGCGAGTGAGTTAGATTATGTGGGTTTTTGAGCCTCTCTCACTCTCTCTGTTTTTACACAGGATTTTACAATGCTAGGTTTAGGGTTTCCAACATTATTTATAAGCTACGAGCTAATACCTACATCAGCTCATTTGAAATCACTCTCTCTCTCTCTCTCTCTCTCTCTCTCTCTCTCTCTCTCCTCTCTCTCTCTCTCTCTCTCTCTCTCTCTCTCTCTCTCTCTTTCTCGAGGATTCTTATACGATTAGGTAAATTGTTCGTGCCTTTTTGCAAGCTAACAGCTTATACCTACCTCATCTCCTTTGAAAGCCTTGCTACTGTTGTGAGACATATAAATAGGGAGCAGGATGAAGTTGGAGCCATCTGTGGGCCAGTGATTTAAGTGGGTCAAGTGATTTTATGTCACAGTTAACGTTATGTTGTACGAACGAGTTCGTGACTTAAGTCGTTCTAGAAATGAATGACCTCAGATGAAATGATGTTCTTGGGAAGGGTACAGCCAGAGTGTAGTTACTGTTGGCTGCCCGTCTTGTGGTACTGAAGGTGTCTTTGTGCATAACAGCAAGGCTACTCGCATCTCTATGGTGTTGAAGGCTCTGTTGAAATGACAGATCTGCTGAAATGACAGACCTCTGTCTGTCTGTCTGTCTGTCTGTCTGTCTGTCTGTCTGTCTGTCTGTCTCTGTCTCTGTCTCTCTCTCTCTCCTCTCTCTCTCTCTCTCTCTCTCTCTCTCTCTCTCTCTCTCTCTCTCTCTCTCTCTCTCTCTCTCTCGTCTTGTTTTCCCCGTGGTATGCAAATGAGACAGGTCTGATGAGTCTGCCCAGTTCGTTGCCGCTATTAAGGTCCTTCTTCCCCTCTCTGCCTCTTCATGTTTTCTCTGCACTTTCTCCTTCCCGTTCGATCTCACTCCCTTTCCACCCTTTTCCCCTTTCACTTTTCTCTTTTCTCTACACCAACACTCCTCTTTCATTCTTTTGTTCCTGTTCTTCCCTTTCTTGGAACTCTGGTAATGTGAGTGTGAGCAGGGGAATTAGTGGTGATAAAGCAGAGTAGGAAGAGGAGGAAGAAGAGGAAGAGAAGGAGGAGGAGGAGGAGGAGGAGGAGGAGGAGGAGGAGGAGGAGGGAGGAGGAGGATGTGGCCCACGCCATGTCCAACACATGAACCTCGAAAAGTTCCAATAATTTGCCAGCAGAGCCGAGAGAAACGAGATATGAAGGACGAGGGGAGACATGACCACGACATTCAAAGTTGTCATGAATATATTGCAGAACAATACTGAAGCCAGTAAATTAATAAATCAAGGCATGATCCGCCTCCTTAAATATTTCCACTAATGGAATATTAAGCCTAATTATAATATCATGGCAAGAATAAAAGGTTAATACTAAATATTTAACATTTAGATAATGTCAAGGTGAAGAAGATTTAGAAGAAAATAAAGTAATTCGGAATGAAGGAGTTGAGACATGATAATGACATACAAAATACACAGAGAGGGATTGATAAGATGGAGAAGGACAGTGTTCTTGTGGCGGAAAAGAGGAACACAGGGGCACAACTGCACGTTAAATACGTACGAATGACATCATAATAAACACTTGTGTTACTGATACCGCTCCATGACGTCATAATAAATACTTGGGTTGCAAGTACCGCTGCATGACGTCATAATAAACTGTTGTGTTGCAGGTACCGCTGCATGACGTCATAATAAACTGTTGTGTTGCAGGTACCGCTGCATGACGTCATAATAAACTGTTGTGTTGCAGGTACCGCTGCATGACGTCATAATAAACTGTTGTGTTGCAGGTACCGCTGCATGACGTCATAATAAACTGTTGTGTTGCAGGTACCGCTGCATGACGTCATAATAAACTGTTGTGTTGCAGGTACCACTGCATGACGTCAAAATAAACTGTTGTGTTGCAGGTACCGCTGCATGACGTCATAATAAACTGTTGTGTTGCAAGTACCGCTGCATGACGTCATAATAAGCTGTTGTGTTGCAGGTACCGCTGCATGACATCATAATAAACACTTGCGTTGCAGATGCCGTTGCCTGACGTCATAATCAACTCTTATCTTGTAGGTACGTGAAGGGGCAGTACGTGTCGGCACATGGGGAGGTGATCAGCCACGTGAACATCTCTACGGTGCACGTGACGGACGGGGGTACGTACGCGTGCACGGCGGAGAACAGTGCCGGCAGCGTGGTGCACTCAGCACGTCTTAACGTGTACGGCCCCCCGCACGTGCGTCCCATGGGGCAGGTGTCTGCTGTAGCGGGGGAGACCTTCCTTGTTACGTGCCCCGTCTCCGGCTACCCCGTGCACAAGATCACCTGGAGAAAAGGTACGTTCCCCTACCCCGTGCACAAGATCACCTGGAGAAAAGGTACGTTACCCTAACTCGTGCACAAGATCATCTGGAGGAGAGACACGTCCATTCCCCGTGCTCAAGATTGCTTTTCAAGCTACCCCGAGCACAAAATCTCCGTGAAGAAATGTACGTCTGTTAAAGATCACCTGAAGATAAGGTACGTCTGTTAAAGATCACCTGGAGGTAAGGTACGTCTGTTAAAGATCACCTGGAGGTAAGGTACGTCTGTTAAAGATCACCTGGAGGTAAGGTACGTCTGTTAAAGATCACCTGGAGGTAAGGTACGTCTGTTAAAGATCACCTGGAGGTAAGGTACGTCTGTTAAAGATCACCTGGAGGGAAGGTACGTCTGTTAAAGATCACCTGGAGGTAAGGTACGTCTGTTAAAGATCACCTGGAGGTAAGGTACATTTGTTAAAGATCACCTGGAGGTAAGATACGTCACTTAAAGATCACCTGGAAGTAAGGTACGTCTTGAGGTTCTTAAAGGCACGTTCCTTCCCAACTCAAGCTTGGGACGAGATAAGAGAAATGAGAGAAAGTTACTGTGTGGAATGGAGAGGAGCGAAGGAAGATTGATGGAGTAAGAGGAAGGATGGAGTGGCAAGAAGTGGAGAGAGAAGGAAGGAAGATTGAGAAGGAAGGTAGAGATTGAAGGAATGAACAGTGAAAGGGAAGGAAGGAAGGTTGTGACGGAAGGAAGGTGGAGAGGGAAGGAAGGTGGGAGAAGGAAGGGAAGTGGAGAGGGAAGGAAGGTGAGAAGGAAGGAATGGTGGAGAGGGAAGGAAAGGGGGAGAGGAAGGAAGGTGAAAAGGGAAGGAAGGTGGGAGAGGGAAGGAAGGTGGAGAGGGAAGGAAGGTAGAGAAGGAAGGAAAGTGGTGAGGGAAGGAAGGTGGAGAAAGAAGGAAGGTGGAGAGGGAAGGAAGGTGGAGAGGGAAGGAAGGTGGAGAAGGAAGGAAGGTGGAGAGGGAAGGACGGTGAAGAAGGGAAAGGGAAGGTGGAGAGGGAAGAAGGTGGAGAGGGAAGGAAGGTGGAGAGGGAAGAAAGGTGGAGAGGGAAGGAAGGTGGAGAAGGAAGGAAAAGGGGGAGAGGGAAGGACGGTTTGGGGAAGGAAGGAAGGTGGAAGGGGAAGGAAGTGGAGAGGGAAGGAAGGTAAGAGGGGAAAGGGAAAGGGGGGAGAGGGAACGAAGGGGGACAAGGAAGGAAGGTGGAGAGGAAAGGAAGGTGGAGAGGGAAGGAAGGTGGAGAGGGAAGGAAGGTGGAGAGGGAAGGAAGGTGGTGAGGGAAGGAAGGTGGAGAGGGAAGGAAGGTGGAGAGGGAAGGAAGGTGGAGAGGGAAGGAAGGTGGAGAGGGAAGGAAGGTGGAGAGGGAAGGAGGGAGGGAAGGAGGAGAGGAAAGGAGGGAGAAAAGGAGGAGAGATAACGATGAATATTAAAATGATATACAATACCGACAGGATGGTAAGACACACGCAACAGTTAAGCATCTTTATTCCGAAACGTTTCGCCCACACAGAAGGCTTCTTCAGTCGAGTACAGAGAAGTTGGTAGAAGCAATAAAGATGTGAAGACGATGTAATCAGGTTGAGGGACTGACCACCTCAAAACTACGTCTTCAAGGGTGATGGACTGATTATAGCGTTTTCAGTTCTCTACTGCCCCTGCCAATTTTCTGTACGAGACTGACGAAGCCCACAGTGTGGGCCAAACGTATCGGAATAAAGATGCTTGACCGTTGCATATATGTCTGACTTACCAGAGACAAAGATAGAGTGGGAGGTGGGGGGGGAAGGAGGAAGAGGGAAAGAGGGAAGAAGGGAGAGGAAAGGCGGGGAGAGGAAGGAAGGAAAGGAGGGAGGGAAACAGAGAGAAGGAGGGAGGGAAGGAGGGAGAGAGGGGTGGATGGATGGACGTAAAGTAAGAGAGGAAGGGGAAGAAGGAGAGAAGGGGAAACAGAGAAGGGAAGGTAGGGAAGGAGGGAGGGAGGGGAATAGAGAAGGGGGAGAGAGGGGAAAAAGAGAGAGGGAAATGAAGGAGAGAGAGACGGAGGGAGGGGAGAGAGGGGGGGGAGGGAGGGAAAGGGAGGAAGGAGGGAAGGAGGGAGGAGGGAGGGAAAGAGAGAGAGAGAGAGAGAGAGAGAGAGAGATAGAGAGAGAGAGAGAGAGAGAGAGGGATCTTTATTCTCTAGGCACCATCATGGTAATGCCGGAGCAGCAGTAAGTATGACTGGGAGAGTGTTGGCACCTGGGGAAGAAGTTGATATCCTTAGGGTGAAGTTTGACTCCAAACTGACCATGATGAACCATGTTGTAAATCTTGCAAACAAGGCAGCCAAGAAGCTTACAGCACTTCGCCGTATCTCGCATCTGCTTGACAGTAGGGGTTGCAAGATTCTGTACGAGGCACAAGTACGGTCACACCTTGAGTATGCTCCACTTTCTTGGTTCACCTGCCCCCCCCCCCCTCTCATCTGCGACTGCTTGACAGAGTAGAGAACAGAGCAAGGCGTCTCATCTCTCGCGTGGACCCATCCTTGATAGATCTGTCATTTCAGCAGAGCCTTCAACATAGGAGGGATGTGGGCGGCCTTACTGTTATGTACAAGGCCAACATGGTCAAAGTACCATACTTTTCCCCACTTCGAAGACAGCGTGAAGCATCACTTCATCTGAGATAATTTATCCGCAGGATGACTCGAGTATGGAACACATTCGTATAGCGTTATGATGTCAACGAGATAAAGTCAGTTGATCAGATGAAAATGCTGACCCACAGATGGCTCCAACTTCATCCTGTTCCCTACTTGTATGTTTCATAACAATAAAAATGCTTTCAAATGAGCTGAGGTAGGTAACAGCTCTTAGCTTGTCAATAAAGTTAGGAAGCCTTAACTTGTCAATAGCTTGTCAGTAAAGTTTGGGATCCTTAACCTAACCTTGTCAAATCATGTGTAAAAAAACTAAAGGGAGAGAGAGAGAGGGGGGGGCAAGGTTAGGGAGAGAGAGATAGATAGATGGAGGGAGGCACCACAACCATCACTACAGCATCCACACTCTCTTAGTACAGAAGTGCTCAACTTTGCCGTACCTTGTGTTGACACCTTCCCAAGGGATTACAACATTGTCAAGGGGATTTCTGGCAGATTACCCCCTCCCCTCCCCAACCCCTGCCTTTCAAAGGATTACTCATGAGGGATTACTCCTGACGCAGGAGAGCTTCATCAACCTCCCTTAATACCTCACTAATGACAGCACAGTAAAAAAAAGAGAGAGAAAATTTAAATATTCCACACAGAACATAAAATATAAAGATAAAAGCGAATTTAAAAATCATTTTAATACTCTTGTATCTCAGCCTTATAAACAAATGCTACCTGTCGCCATTATTTATTCTCTGGGTAATACAGTCACAATTTCACCAAAGACACGTTCCTTCAGCTATGTTAATGTTGCAGTTTAAAAACTGTAGTGTAAAGCACCCTTCTGGCAAGACAGTGATGGAGTGAATGATGGTGAAAGTTTTTCTTTTTCGGGCCACCCTGCCTTGGTGGGAATCGGCCAGTGTGATAATAATAATAATGATTTTATGTATTAACGTTTGTCTGTGTAAATGCCTGTCTCCTTAAATATTTGCCTGTGTAAATGTCTTCATGTGTAAATATTTGCCTGTGTAAATGTTTGCCTCTGTAGTTGCTTGCAGGTGTAAATGTTTGTTTGTGTAAATGTTTTCCTGAGTATATGTTTGCCTGTTTAAATGTTTGCCTGTGTAAATATGTGTTTGTACTAACGTTTGACTGTGTAATTGGTAATCTGTGTAAACGTTTAACGGTGAAAACCGTTTGCCTGTGTAAATGTTTACCGGCGTAAACATTTGTCTGAGTAAACGTTTCAATTTGTAAACATTTGACTGTGTAAGCGTTTAGCTGCGTAAACATTAGCCGGCCAAATTATTATTACTATATTCATGAGGAAGCGCTAAATTCGTATGACTCATACACAGAAGTTTCGTAAAACCTTGTGCATGTAAACGGTGTAAATCCATTTTCTTGTGTCCCAGTCCCCATTTTACATAAGAAACATAAGAAAGAAAGAACAAGAACACTGCAACAGGCCTACTGACCCCCCCCCCCTCTATGCGGAGCAGGTCCAATGTCCCCCCCGGATTATCCCAATTACCCACCCAGGTCTGGTCACCCTCCACTCAAAAATGGAGCAACGGCACCAGACCCGCAGCACAAGCTAGTCTAGTCCCAACTCGCACACCCACCCACCCAACCCACTCAGGTATTTATCCAACCTACTTTTTTTTAAACTACACAACGTCTTAGCTTCTCTGACAGTACTCGGGATTTGTTCACTATCCACAACTCTATTACCAAACCAGTGCTGTTCCCCTATTATCCTTCCTGAATCTGAATTTTTCCAACTTGAAACCATTGCTGCGATCATGTCTTGGCTGAAATTTTCAGCACGCTATTTGGCATCCCCTTTAGTTTACTTCTGTTTCACATTTATACACCTCGATCATATCCTCCCCTAAATCTAACACCTTTCGAGAGGTGCATAATTCAGGCCCCTCACTCTATCCTCATAGGGAAGATTTTCTTGATACATGGATCATCTTTGGCATCCTCCTCCGTACGTTTTCCAGAGTAATTTATATCCATTCTGTAATATCGGTGACCAGAACTGAGCAGCATAGTTAAATGAGGCCTTACCAAGGATTATAGAGTTGAAGAACAACCTGAGGTCATTCTAATTATTTATACTTACTAGATATGAAGCCAAAGAATTCTGTTAGCTTTATTGCGAACACTAATGCACTGGTGTCTTGGTTTTAGATTAACGCTAACCAGAACTCGCTAAATCCTTTTCCCAATCAGTAGTATTAAGATCTACATTAGCTTAGTTTTTATATGAGTCATGTTATTTAAACTGTCCAACATTTTAGAACTTTGCATTTGTTCCATGATTAAACTGCCTCTGCCACATCTCCGATCATTGCATCAGTCCTATTCAAATCAATCCTCGGAGTGCTCTAGTGTCCTATTAGAAAAAAATTGGACGGCTAATTTTGGGTGTCAATCAGCAAATTTTGCTTATGTCCCTATTTATCCCTCATCTATGTCGTTTATGTAAATTGTGGAACAACAACAGGCCCAACACTGACCCCCCGAGGAACACCACTTGTGACGTGCCCCCCATTCTGATTTCTCCCCATTTATGCCAAACTCTCTGCTGCCCATTTGTCAGACCATGGCCTCTACCCAGGAAATAATTTCACCTCCTATTCCGGGTGCCATTCAGTTTCCCAATAGCCCTCTGGTGTGGAACTTTATCGGAAAGCCATACTGAAGTCCATATACACAATATCATATTCCTTACCATGAACTAACCTCCTTAAACCGCCTTAGTGAAAAAATTTAGTAAATTCGTTAGCCAAGGAACGCCCCTTTGTAAACCACCGTGTTTGAATTTCTTTAATCAATCTTGTGCCTATCAGATGGCAACGAATTGCTATCAGCAAATTATTAATTCCGTGAAATTTCCCACCTATGGAGGTAAGGGCCTTATTGGGTCAATAGTTCGAAGCCAAGGACCTTCACCTGGCCTTGTAAATAGGTATTACATTTGGCCATTTTCCACTTATCAGGCTCAATTCTGTTTGTAGTGATATGTTTACAAAGATTAGCCAAAGGTATGCTAAGTTCCTCTTTACATTCCTTTAACACCCTTGCAAACAGTCATCAGGGCCTGGGATTTGTTTAGTTTTAGTTTCTCTATTTGTCTGAGATCCATGTCACTCTAGTTACACCGCAGTCGTACATAGTTTATTTTCTTGTTCTACATAATCTATTATTTCAGGAATATCGCTAGTATTTTCCCTGGTGAAAACTGAGAGGAAGTAGTATTGAGAATTTTCAACACATATCCTTATCACTGTCAGTGATCTGACCAGAGTTAAACTCCATTAGTGAGCCAACTTGTCCCTAATCATACATCTATATACCTGAAAAGAACCCTTTTGGGTTATTCTTTGAATCCCTCGCTACCTTGAGCCTCAATATCCCTTATTTTTTTATTAATTTCTTATTTCTCTCTTTAAGTAAATATATTGATTTCTAAACTGCCCGTCCTCTCTTTTGATACGCCTATATATGCCTCTCTTTTGACCAATGAGATGTTTTAATCTATTGTTTATCCATTTGGGATCATTTTTGTTAGATCTAATTTCCCTACTCGGAACAAAAGTTGTCTGGGCAGCTAGAACTATGCTCTGAAAAACGTTATATTGGCAACCAAGATCACCTACCTGACCCAGAGTCAGGACATCCCAATTTAGCTTACCCAGGTAATTTTTCAGTCCCGTGCTAAACCCATGAGGATCATACAACGCCTGGGGGAATGAGGTTAGGTTTGTCTTGGTCGGGTCTTGGTCGTACAGTGACCCGCAGCTGGAGCTTTTGCTCATCTGACGGAGGCCTTCCACTGGGAGATAATCAGATGTGAGGGGAAAGACACGGCCACCTGTTTCAAGGCATATTTGAAGTTTGCCAGTTGAAGCAAATGAGTGTCTCACTTATATGATGTTTCAGTGACAGTCATTTGAATATAATTACTCTAGTAATTACTTCTGTAATTACTCTGCCGACGCTCTTGGTATGTTATCAACATCTGAAATTTTCTCGTACCTTTTCACTTCCTTTCATTTGCATTACGTACAGCCATTGACCTTCAACGCCCATCATCAATCCATGTGATCCGTTTAATCTTGCGGGATGTTGGTCTACCATCAATCTCCAAATCTCTTGATGTTGGGGTTAATCTCCAGTAAGCCATTTCTTCGGACCTATACTAAGTCTCTCCAAGGTCTTTGCTCCAGACTTCCTTCATTTCCCGGTAGTAATTCTTTACATTTGGTACATTAATTATGTGTGTAGATAGCTTTATCCGCATAACTCACGTGTTGGTTGGTATTGCAGATGGGTGCGGTGGCCCACAACGCACCGTCAGAGGGTCCACGCCAACGGTACACTGGTGGTGGAGCAGGTGACTCGAGGTACTGACGACGGTCAGTACTCCTGCACCGCCTCCACTAGACAAGGTCTCTCCGACACCCAGCACCTCACAGTCCGTGTCATGGGTAGGTCATGGGGAAGGGAAGTGCTGGGGGTCTGTCTCAGAGACACCCAGAACCTCACCCACACCCGTCCGTCCTCATGCATAGGTCATGGGGAAAAGTGCTAGTAATGATTTGTCTTCAGGAGACACCCAAATCCTCACAGTTCTTGTTATGGGTAGGTTTTTAACATTAGAAGTGGAAGTAGATGTAATTTCATTAGTAGTAGTAGTAGTAGTAGTAGTAATAATAATAGTAGTAATATTTGAACTAATAGTTGCAGTAGTAGCGACAATAATTGCAGTAGTACTAATAGTAGTAGTAATGGTAGTAATAGTAGTAGTAAGGATAAATATTTATATTAATACTACCAGTAGTGGTAGAAAATGGGACTTCGGTAGTAGCAGTAGCCGACGCAACTATGTCGGTAGTTTGCTGTAGGTGGAAGAGGCAACGACATTTTTTTTTTTTTTTTTTTACTTTAGTGGCAGAAAATATTTTATTTCATTAGTTTTAATATATGAATTTTTATGTAAGTAGTTGGAGAGAGTAAATATTATGTGCGTCGTGGATACGTATCTGAGACCATCACACTTTGTGTCGTGCAATAAAAATATATAATTAAAGAATTAATTGGAAATCATAATTAGGGGTTACAACACTGAACAAAAACGGCCCCGTTGCACAAAATTCGATTAACTAAACAGAGATCACAACCACAAAGACGCCAGTGGTAGCAAGAAGTAAGTTTTGCGTTGCGGACAAACTTTGTACACACGTTTCAAAGACATTAATAATAAACGCAACAAAGTCTAGAATTAGAGAAACTGAACAATTCAATAACGATAAAGAATTGTTGTGAATAAATCCAATAAAGAAAGCACTGATTTTTTACCAAAGATACAGAAAAGAGCACGTTTTCTTGGCAAAGACGATCATCTTCTCTTTCCTCATTCCCCGTCTAAGCTATAACAAAGTAAGAAGGAAGTGCGTCATCGTGATCCTCACATTATCGTTTCAAATGCACATCATCCCGTCCTTGATATGGACATTCAGCTGTTGGGAGCAGATTGCCAGAGCCTTCTGATAGTATCTAAAGAAAGAGTATGGGAACCAATTGCCTGCAATCACGAACTTTCACTGTCACGCTCACGAGATGCGTCAAGTAGGAAACTTTGACTTGAGCCTCATACCTAGGGATTAAGCGTTTAGGAAGAGCCACTCTTATGAGATGAGAAGAAAAGAAATATTAACTCTATTGTGACAACCTCAACGATATTTCCGTAGAAATATAAAGATATATCCACCGCCCTTTCTTTTTACATAATTTATATAAGTTAATTGGATTTAATTGTTTACTGTATAACTTCACCGAAAATCAGGGAATTCCCTGTAGAGAGGCCTTCTTGTGCTTGAGCCCAGGAGTTCAAGGCAGGACGCGGTGTAACCGTGAGCAGCTACTCTCGAATTTGGCAGACCATCACCAATAATGAAAATATAACAGTATTCCCAGAAAATTAAATTTTTAAGTGCAATTTCCTCGGTTATTTATTAGACACACTTGTCAGCAAGCAACTTCCTCTATAGTATTACTAGTGGTAGTAAGTGGCACTAGTGACTGCGGAAACAGCTGCTGACATATTAACTCGCTAGATTATGCGTTATCCGCCCCTTGAGCAGATATATCGCCTCTGGGTAGCTCCCAAGGATATTACATTTAAAAATTTTAATATTTGTTCAAGTGTGTTATTAACACCACTACTCGTTACTCTTACACACACACACACATCACACACACACACACACCACACACACAACAACACACATAATATATATATATATATATATATATTATATATATATATATATAGATATATATATATATATATATATATATATAATTATATAATATATATATATATATATATATTATATTTATTTTTTCCATGTTTCATTGAAAATAAAATCTGTTATAGCACGGTCGTGTCGTGTATGAAAGGTAACTAGCCATTAATATATTCAACACGTTATTTGTTAAAACAAAGATACTTAAATATTAATTATATTTTATTATTATTATTATTATTATTATTATTATTATTATTATTATTATTGTACAACTACTGGGAGACAATCAAATTTGATCCCAAGAAGGAGACAAGCTTTTATTGGAGGAAATTAGAAATGCGAGCTTCATTAAACTGGAGCAATGAAGGTTGTCCAATAAAGACTCACCATAAGTGTCTGCTTTACGTCATTGGTTGACACAGTCCTCGTAATTCCACTGTATTTGTTGAATCTTTTCCATTAACTATTTAAAGCATCTTTTTTTTTGTTAAAATAATTCCTTCCCTCCCCAGCTTCCCACCTCACCTGGCGAACACATGTGTTGGAGTAGAGAATAAACAATGAACTGTGAAACTATTACCGAATGTGATAGCTTGCGTAATAACATATAAAGTAAAATAGATGACAGACTGATCATGGAAGGGAAGAATATATTTACAGCAGACGTAGTCCATGTAATTAGCAGAGTGTTTGTTAGTTGGCAAGAGTAGATTGACGATTGATAAATGAGTAGTGAGACAAGTAAATGACAGTAGGTAACGTACACAATAGCTCCGGGAACAAGTGAAAATATGGCAGATGATACATGGATTAAAAGAAAATAAAGTGAGAAACCCAGTCAGTCAGAAAGATGAGTATGACACAAGTGGCATATTCAGGTATTGCACATGTTCTCTTTCATCAATCTGTCTGTCTAAACATACCAATTTATCAAAGTTTAGTCAGTTCATGTCTTTTAAGTAGGTAACCTGCCTGGGCTCTGGTCTCATGGCCACTAGAAGACAGGAGACTACCAGCGGTCTGGCTTCTTGTCTGGAGGCCAAGAAAGGAACCTAGACAGAGGACCTTGTCCTTAGGAGCACAGCGAGGAAACTAGAGTGCTACCTGGCCCAGGAATCCTTGATTTGATTGTTGCTAGGATACAGGAAGCCTAAATGATTTAAAAGCTTTGGTTTGAGAGGCACTATGAAACAGAAGGTTTAGTTGCACGCGGGATTCTTGTTTAAGGCCTTAGTGCACCCCACCAAGGTGCTGGTGTGGTTGGAGGACCGTTATTAAGATGCAAAAATGGTATACAGAGAGGCAGTGAGTAGTTAAAGGTTAAAGAGGCACTGAACAGATAAAAAGAGGTATTTAGCCAGTAATACCTAAAGTAGTGATCAGGTTAAAAGGGTAATATGCTCCAGTACTCAACCACCAAAACAATGATCAGGTGAAAAGGCAAGTAGAGAGGCAGATAGAGAGGGAGGTAGAGAGGAAGGTAGAGAGGCAGGTAGAGAGGCAGGTAGAGAGGCAGGTAGAGAGGCAGGTAGAGAGGCAGGTAGTGAGGCAGGCAGAGAGGGCAGACAGACTGCAGCAAGCAGCCAGGCAGTGTTAACAGGTCGAGCACTAATGGCAACGTATTACAGTGGGCGCTCCGCAGTTCTGCCTTTCAACTTTGAGGAAGAACTGGCAAGTGGTAGAACGGGCGGGGGCCGGCGATGCATCGTAAGCAAAGGCGACCAGCCCATCACCTTCACCTTGAGAAAGATGGCCCGCCCAGTTCCAAGAGATGAGCGAGTGGGGGGGGTCCGTATCGTCGTTGGGTCCTTTTTCCCCAATGCCCTTAAATCAACAGCCTCACGGCCCCACCACACCCGTAGAGTACACTTGCCGCGCCTCCACCACTGGCCGGAGGCATCTTACCTCCGCCGCCCTCGCCGTCAAGTAACGACGCCCACAGCCAACCACGGCCGCCACACCACGCAAAGAACCTGGACGTCACCGCCACCACCTCCCACATAAACCAACGCTTCTTCTCTCCACTTTTTTCCAGAATCAATTTGACGTGTCTGTGATGGTTCATGTGTCGCAGAAATAATCTGGACGAGGCTACAACCACTTACCGCGACTGTTCTTCCTCTTACTCTTGCTGCCTCTTCCTTCATCCTCAGCTTCTGACTGCATCTTCCTTCAACAACAGCTTATTGCTGCTTCCTCTTCCTTCAACCTCAACTTATTCGTGCCTCTTCGACCCTTAGCTTCTGACTGCCTCTTCATCCCTCAATTTATTGCTGCTTCTTTCTACAACCTTCAGTTTAATACTGCCTCTTTCCACAACCCTCAGCTTATTGCTGCCTCGTCCTACAACCCTCAATTTATTACTGCCTCTTCCTGCAACCCTCAGCTTATTGCTGCCTTCTCGAACTCTCATCTGATAGCTGCATTTTCTTCTCTCAGCTTATTGCTGTATCCCTTTCAATATTCTCACCTAACTCTTCACGTGATTTCTGGTAAATAAAAATTTACGGCAGAGAATCTTATTTATAAGCACAAAAGACGTTTATTATGTATTGTTTTCTTAAAGTCTACATAAATAAACACAAGAGTATATATATATATATATAGTTGTATCAGGCGAGGTTAATTCCCAGGTGTTATTAATGTGGCTAATACCTGAAGGCGTATGTGAGACCAGAGGAGGATTGTTATTAATGTAATTCACATGAAACACCTGACACGGGTTGGGTCATTCAAGGGTTAGGAGTGACTGAGAGCAAACTAATGAAGCTTAAGCTTCAGGGCACCTAATCCCTGAGGGGCCCCAAAAATTTTGGGTCTACTGTATAATTTTTTTTTTAAATGGTAAGATTAATATTGTGCAATTCAGTATAAAACAAACGTTAAAATATAAATTGAAAGATTATTAAAGCATCACCTAGGCTAGCCGTAGCTGGTTGCCAAGGTGACTCCATAACAAGGTCCCAAAAATATTGCTCCGCAAGTGACTGTGAGACATACTTATCTCAGTTTCCCAGCTTCACTTAGTGTAGGTAAGCATCTCACCGTTGAGAATCACCAAATGTATGAATCATCCAGGGAAAACATCAAAACTAAGGGGAAATGTAAAACCAAGGACAGATAAAATACATTATTCTTTTCTACTAAGAATGTCTTTTTACAATGCAACTCCATAAACCCGAAAATGTGAAAAATATACTGCAAGATTGCCTGTATAATTAAATCTCCGTTAGCGGCACCAACTGTGGCCGAAACTGGTTTAAGGTGTCAAGTTGGAAGCTAAATCACACTTGTTGATAGCCGCCAACGTGGGTTGGAATCCTACTGGCTGCAATATGTCTTTGTATGTACTTTCACTTGTTTCTGCGAGGTGCATTGAGTATAGTACCTCTGGTGAGGCCAGAACATACAGGCGGAGAATGAAGTAGATGGAGATCATGCTTGAGGCTCACTGGTGTACCAGGCGCTAGGATGATACACTGCTTACAGTCAAGTAGGCTACTTGTTATGAAATATCTGTAACTGAGCTGTTTAAGTCGTCACGATGAGAGCTCACCCGTACTCGTGGACTGTGTTCAGCTGCTGCGATATATATATATATATATATAAATATTTATAAAAATATATATATATATATAATATAATATATATTATATATTATAATGTTTTATTTAAAGACAAAATACATTGGCCCAGACATTCCCAAAAAATACACAGAAAGTAAAAAACATAGGTAACTCACAGCTACATCTCGAATACTTCGTCCACTCCCCTGCAGTGGCCGCGTGCCCAGAATGCGGCAGGCATTCCCTCTCTGGGAACGCAACACTGAGTCTCTGAAAGAGGAAGCTGATTCGCCCAGTGGCCCTTGGTTTCTATGATGAGCTTTTCCACCCCGCTCTTTGAGGAAAACTTTAGATCACACTTCCCCCATATCTCCAAGGGTCTCAACCCTATTGGGATAAGTTATAGCAAGGGGGAAAAAGGTTCCCACCCCCCCCCCCCCCCCCCCTTCAAATTTGCGGATCTTCCGAGTCTCCCTGTGGCTGGCAGCTCCACCCCCTTCCCACTATGGAGTAGGAAGTAGGTGTCTGCCAAATGTGGCGGCACAGTGTAGTCCCAGGCAATCTGCTTTTCCGTCCTTCCAGGGTAGCATAGTGGCTCCATCAGGACGCCTTTGGACTTCCATCAGACCTCTGTACTTCGGGTTCCCGGTGTGCTTGCACGGCTGAGGCGAGGCTTCTCTTTATGACGTCATTGACTTCCTCATGTCCTGACATCATTCCCGTCCCTCTGCAGTTGACACACGAGACCAATGAGTCCGAATTGGGGGGATCAGCAGGCGCCCTGGCCGCAAAACACCTATGTTCGGTGACGATTGGGGCGGCTAGGCGAAGAGCAACAACCAATCCGAATGACCTGTGGGTCCGAGACGGGGTGCCCAGGGAGGAAATCGGAACAGCTAGACAGGAAATCTGAGTGTGTGCCTTCACTGCCAGGAGAACGAGCTTTGTCCTTTCTGAAGCATTGGAGAGCATTGTGTTGCGATTTTTTTCCATGATCAGTTTTCCCTGTGGGACTGTGCTCTTTGGGAGAGCTGGTCCCTACTGGAGGATCTGTAAGGTGTCCACCGAATCGCTGCTTCAGTAAACCTGGGTCTTGACTCCTACAACGTCTCTCAAAGCGTTCGGAACTATCTTCTTGACTAATGCACTGGAAGCCAAAACAAGAAGACAGAAAAGCAGGTAAACAACATACGTTGCAGGTTGCGCACTCCCCCTATACCACCTCCCATCGCACTGGAGGCTGCCTGATTCCATTTCAGCTCCTCTAGTGAACAGGTTCAGTGCCTTCTTAAAGTGTTTGACCCTCAGATGAGCGTCATGTTCGTCCGAGTGTTGGGTTTGTCAAAAGAGGGTGCAGACCTCAGACGTAATGAGTCCCAATGGCATAGTAAGACTACCTTGAGAGGAGATACAGGAGCTTCATGGGCATCAGATCGCTTATTCTCTCCTCCATTCTCATCAGTCATTCAATTTGGTCCCTGAGGACAGTGTCGATGGCCTGTAACACAGTGGTGCACCCAAGAGGGTACTGTTTGGACGGAATGGTAGTCGAGACGTCCGGGAGGATTTCTACGCATAGCATTGATTATTTCCTGGTTTGCATGTGGTGATTTCACACTTGGAGGATTGAGGATACCCAAGTCTTCTCCCTGTGTTTTTCACCAGTTGTAGGATCCCCACTCAGGACTCTTCAGTACATCCAGAGTGCCAACATCCAGGTAACCAATATTAGAGCCCACTGCATAGACCTGAAAGTTAGTTCTCTTTACTGCCCAAGCAGAAGAGAAAGTGAGCGAGTGGGCACCCCCTGCTGAACACCCTCTGATGCTTGAAATTCATTGTATAAAAACAAAAGAAATTGAAGGGGTTGCCTGTAGCCGGCCAAGAAATGAAGGGAAAAAACCTGGGGAACGATCCATATATATATATATATATATATATATATAATATATATATATATATAAATATATATATATAATATAAATATATATATTTCCTTCTTCTTTCAAACACACGCCGTATTCCACGATGCAGGTGGCCAAAAGAAAAAACAGAAAGCTACTTCTCCTTTTACATTTAGAATATATACAGGATAAGGGGGTAACTTAGCACTTTAGTTGCCTCGTACAACCACCAGGCTTATCGGAGAAAAGAATACTGTTCCACTTCCCCATGGAGGTAAGAGGAAAAAACAAGAACAAGAACTAGTAAAAAATTAGAAAGAAAACCCAGAGGGGTGTGTACATATAGAGCAAATGATTGTACTTGTATGAGTATGTGTCCTAAGTGTAAGAAGAAGTAGCAAGAAGTCCCTGAAATCTTGCATGTTTACCGAGACAGAAAAATGACACCAGCACTCCTACATCATGTACAAACAATTACAGCTTTCGTTTTACACTCACTTGGCAAGGACGATAGTACCTCCCAGGGTGGGGGGGGGGGGGGTTGCTGTCTACCAACCTACTACCTAGAATATATAAATATATATATATAATATATATATATATAAATATATCTATATATAATATAATATATATATATATATAAATATATATATATAGAAAATATATATAAAAAATTAATATTAATACAATAAATATATGTATGTATAATATATACTCTCTTGAATTATTTATTTTGTAAAACCGAAAAGGGTTAGTTTTAAGTATTTATTGACAGATTCTCTACTCATATAATTTTTCTTTACATCATAATTGCACTTGATGCTATTCCCACAACCTAATATCCCTCTTTCTGCAAGGTATTTCTGTCTCTGTTTCTCCTTAATCCTCTCCTGTACTACCAGTCTATTCTTAAAGCTGCGAAGTGTTTGATCCCACACTGAGGTGCTGTCTCCGAGTGTCACCCAAATACTACTTGAAGGGGTTCTTTGCCAACCAGATATATATTTGCAGGTTATTCTCCTTACACGTTGCTGTGTGTGAGTGTTGTGTGTGTGTGTTGCAGTGCCGCCTCGCCTGGCACCCCTCAACTTCCCGGTGGGCACCCGTGCAGGCATGCAGGCGAGAGCTACTTGTCTGGTGCAGGAGGGGGACCGGCCCCTCACACATTCTTGGCAGAAGGACGGACACCCCCTCGATCCTCGCCTGAACGTCCGTACCTCCCAACTGGACACCTTCACCTCCATCCTTGTGATCGACAGAGCCACCGCCGCCCACACCGGCAACTACACCTGTGCCGCCACCAACGCCGCCCGCACCATCACCACCACCGCCCGCCTGACCGTCAGCGGTAGGCCGCCCACGGTCTCATGCCCACTGTGGCACGACTATGACATAGAGAGAGAGAGACAGAGACAGAGACAGAAAGAGAAGGACAGAGAGAGAGAGAGAGAGAGAGAGAAGAGAGAGAGAGAGAGAGAGAGAGAGAGAGAGAGAGAGAGAGAGAATGTAGGGAAGAAAGAGGTCAACATAGGCCAGATATGACATTTTTGAAGCATATCGACGCTACAGTAGCGCAGTATAACCACCTGCAGGGACGCAGACTTTCCTCAACTCAAATGACTGGACAACAACATTATGATTGTGAGGTGACAAGTGGTACTGTAACTTGCATCATTCACTAATGTTGTAGCGCCCATTAGTCTGAAGCTCTTCAGCAGAGCTTAAGTTAACATTAAGCTTGTGGAGGTCACCGCCCCTCCAGCACGACTCACCGTCCATCAAGCATCAGTCATCGTCCCTTCGATTCAACATTCTGACACAGACTAAGGACACTTGATCAAAGCACGAGACTAATGCTGATGATGACTTTTACTTGTGGATGAGGTGGGGCTGCTCATGTTGTTCCTTGTCTGTAGTACTTTTTAGAAGCACGCTTCCCACCTGCTTCGACGTAGCACACCTACGGCTGAATGACTCGCCACGTCTCGAACAAAAATAAAAATGATTAAGGAGGCTTAACAGTAATAATTGCAGAGTATGTAGGTAAATTCTCTCCTTGAAGTGAAACATCGAAGCGGTGTCTCAACTCAAGGAGAGAATTCACCTTCATCCTCTGCTATGATGATTCTGTATCACTGCTTCCATCATCCTCTGCCATGATCATGCTCTATCACTGCTTCCTTCACTCACTACCATGACCATGCTGTATCACTGCTTCCTTCATCCTCTGCCATGATCATGCTGTATCACTGCTTCCTTCACTCACTACCATGATCATGCTGTATCACTGCTTCCTTCATCCTCTGCCATGATCATGCTGTATCACTGCTTCCTTCATCCACTACCATGATCATGCTGTATCACTGCTTCCTTCATCCTCTGCCATGATCATGCTGTATCACTGCTTCCTACATCCTCTGCCATGATCATGCTGTATCACTGCTTCCTTCATCCCCTACCATGATCATGCTGTATCACTGCTTCCTTCATCCTCTTCCATGATCATGCAGTATCACTGCTTCCTTCATACACTGCCATGATCATGCTGTATCACTGCTTCCTTCATCCACTACCATGATCATGCTGTATCACTGCTTCCTTCATCCTCTGCCTTAATCATGCTGTACCACTGCTTCCTTCATCCACTACCATGATCATGCAGTATCACTGCTTCCTTCATACACTGCCATGATCATGCTGTATCACTGCTTCCTTCACCCACTACCATGATCATGCTGTATCACTGCTTCCTTCACCCACTACCATGATCATGCTGTATCACTGCTTCCTACATCCTTTGCCATGATCATGCTGTATCACTGCTTCCTTCACCCACTACCATGATCATGCTGTATCACTGCTTCCTTCCACCCACTACCATGATCATGCTGTATCACTGCTTCCTACATCCTTTGCCATGATCATGCAGTATCACTGCTTCCTTCATACACTGCCATGATCATGCTGTATCACTGCTTCCTTCACCCACTACCATGATCATGCTGTATCACTGCTTCCTTCACCCACTACCATGATCATGCTGTATCACTGCTTCCTACATCCTTGTGCCATGATCATGCTGTATCACTGCTTCCTTCACCCACTACCATGATCATGCTGTATCACTGCTTCCTACATCCTTTGCCATGATCATGCAGTATCACTGCTTCCTTCATACACTGCCATGATCATGCTGTATCACTGCTTCCTTCATCCTCTGCCATGATCATGCTGTATCACTGCTTCCTTCACCCACTACCATGATCATGCTGTATCACTGCTTCCTACATCCTTTGCCATGATCATGCAGTATCACTGCTTCCTTCATACACTGCCATGATCATGCTGTATCACTGCTTCCTTCATCCTCTGCCATGATCATGCTGTATCGCTGCTTCCTTCATCCTCTTCCATGATCATGCAGTATCACTGCTTCCTTCACCCACTACCATGATCATGCTGTATCACTGCTTCCTTCACCCACTACCATGATCATGCTGTATCACTGCTTCCTACATCCTTTGCCATGATCATGCTGTATCACTGCTTCCTTCACCCACTACCATGATCATGCTGTATCACTGCTTCCTTCACCCACTACCATGATCATGCTGTATCACTGCTTCCTACATCCTTTGCCATGATCATGCAGTATCACTGCTTCCTTCATACACTGCCATGATCATGCTGTATCACTGCTTCCTTCACCCACTACCATGATCATGCTGTATCACTGCTTCCTTCACCCACTACCATGATCATGCTGTATCACTGCTTCCTACATCCTTTGCCATGATCATGCTGTATCACTGCTTCCTTCACCCACTACCATGATCATGCTGTATCACTGCTTCCTACATCTTTGCCATGATCATGCAGTATCACTGCTTCCTTCATACACTGCCATGATCATGCTGTATCACTGCTTCCTTCATCCTCTGCCATGATCATGCTGTATCACTGCTTCCTTCACCCACTACCATGATCATGCTGTATCACTGCTTCCTACATCCTTTGCCATGATCATGCTGTATCACTGCTTCCTTCATACACTGCCATGATCATGCTGTATCACTGCTTAATTCACCCACTACCATGATCATGCTGTATCACTGCTTCCTACATCCTTTGCCATGATCATGCTGTATCACTGCTTCCTTCATACACTGCCATGATCATGCTGTATCACTGCTTCCTTCACCCACTACCATGATCATGCTGTATCACTGCTTCCTACATCCTTTGCCATGATCATGCTGTATCACTGCTTCCTTCACCCACTACCATGATCATGCTGTATCACTGCTTCCTACATCCTTTGCCATGATCATGCTGTATCACTGCTTCCTACATCCTTTGCCATGATCATGCTGTATCACTGCTTCCTTCACCCACTACCATGATCATGCTGTATCACTGCTTCCTACATCCTTTGCCATGATCATGCTGTATCACTGCTTCCTTCACCCACTACCATGATCATGCTGTATCACTGCTTCCTACATCCTTTGCCATGATCATGCTGTATCACTGCTTCCTACATCCTTTGCCATGATCATGCTGTATCACTGCTTCCTACATCCTTTGCCATGATCATGCTGTATCACTGCTTCCTACATCCTTTGCCATGATCATGCTGTATCACTGCTTCCTTCATCCTCTGTCATGATCATGCTGTGTCACTGCTTCCTTCATCCACTGCCATGATCATGCTGTATTATTGCTTCATTCATCCTGTGCCATGATCATGCTGTATCACTGCTTCCTTCAACCTCTGCTATGATCATGCTGTGTCACTGCTTCCTTCATCCACAGGCATGATCATGCTGTGTCACTGCTTCCTTCATCCACAGGCATGATCATGCTGTGTCAGTGCTTCCTTCATATACAAGCATGATCATGCTGCATAACTGATTCCTTTAACCACAGACATGATCATGCTGCATCACTGCATGCTTCATCCACAGACATAATCATTCTGCATCACTGCTTCCTTCATCCACAGGCATGATCATGTTGCGTCACTGCTTCCTTCATCCACAGGCATGGTCATGCTGCATCACTGCTTTCTTCGTCCACAGGCATGGTCATGCTGCGTCACTGCTTCCTTCATCCACAGGCATGGTCATGCTGCATCACTGCTTCCTTCGTCCACAGGCATGGTCATGCTGCGTCACTGCTTCCTTCATCCACAGGCATGATCATGCTGCATCACTGCTTCCTTCATCCACAGGCATGATCATGTTGCGTCACTGCTTTCTTGATTCACAGGCATGATCATTCTGCGTCACTGCTTCCGACATCTACAAGCATGATCTTGCTGCGTCACTGTTTCTTTCATCCACAGGCATGATGGTGCTGCTTCAATGTTTCCTTCATCCTCATGATGCATAAGTATTTCCATCAGCATAATTTTAAATAAGCTTTTTTTCACCATCATGCTACATAAGTGCTTCTTTCATCATCATTCTGGAAAGGTTTCTTCTTTTATCATTCTGTTAGTCATACTGCAGACAAGATCATTACGTTTATGCCACGAAGAGCCTCCTAACCCGTAGATCACCTGCTCACTGACCAGAAAACAGAACCAACCAATCATCGAATCTTACAGTTCAGTGGCAGGAGATTGGCCAGTCAGTAGGCGTCTCCTGAGCAGTTTGTTGAGACCTGATTAATAAACGAGAGGCTCCAAATTAGGTGATCGCTTGCCATTCAATCAGATAGATATAAGGTGATCAGCAATTCAGGGCTTCTCTCCACACGTCGTTGGGTACCTGCGTGCTCGATGAGAATCGCCAGCGGCATTGGATGCTGGCTGGCCAATCAGAATAATTTTTTTAAGCGATTGGTTGCTTGGTTGCCAGTCAGCAGGAGGCTGCGGGTTATGGATGAGTTTTGTTTTCGTTCTTGTGAGAGACATGCCCCATTTGTTGTACACCGAGAGGGAAACACGACGACTGGTGGTGATCTACAACGGTGTATGAGACAGAGACAGTGTGGGTCTGTGTGAAATAATGACACTATGGGCTTGTAGGAGACGTCTTCTCTGCTACTTTCTCTTTGGACATATTCTCCCCGACACACCCTCGTTAGACCACCCCCTACCCTGTCCTCCACCAATCATGCACTGCCACCCCTCTCACCAAACACTGGCAGACTCATGCACTGCCACCCCTCTCACTGAACACTGGCAGACTTTTACTTAGTCACCTCTACGGTAGTTGTTAATAAACTATCAATTTCTTTCAATTTAATTAGAATTCTACTAATATCTTCATTACTAAAACACCACTGTTGCCACAGGTAAATTTTCACATTTTCTCTAGATAATAAGAATTAACAGCAACTTGTGTTTCAGTATTAACCAATCTTATTAAAGTAGATAGTTCCTTGTTAAATTTGACTGTGAGTCTTTATATTTAATAGAAAATGTATTACGAAAAGTGGGTAGCCACTTGGATAAAAATAATCGTCATAGATCAAAGATGTGTCTAGATTTCAGCCTTAATCAAAGACCATCTTCATTTGTTGATGAGGGTCTGAGGAACTCTTTTAGTCATGTGTATTAATATCCTACATACCGCATTTTCCGGCGTATAAGACGTTCCTTTTTTTCCCACAAAAAGACTTGGAAAAATCACCCTGTGCTTTATATGGTCACGCTCATGGTCAAGGGAAGGCTTTGGGTTATTCTTTTGCGTAAAGTAAGAGGGTAATTAGCTCGTGAATATAATAACTGATTTACCGTTATGATACGTCTGTCGTGCGCCTTATATGCCGGAAAATGCAGTAAGTGATTCCTCAGTTTCATCCATGCATATTACATGATATATATATATATATATATATATATATATATATATATATATATATATATATATATATATATATATATATATATATAATATATGTATATATATATATATATATATATATATATATATATATATATATATATATATATATATATATAATATATAATGCAAAGCATTCGCAAACGGGCGATCTTAACAATGCAAGACAATTCACGGGGGGGGGGGAGTGTAATCTTAAGTCCAAGTACTTTCACACTTCCCAGTGCGTCATCAGGAGCTGTGCAATGTTGAAGGGCAGCAACAGGAAAATAAGGGAAGTTTTTCAGAGTATGGTAGTGCGGTGACACCAGCCTCTGACTGAGGTAGAGAGGCCCAGTTGAATGCCAACAACAGACTAGTTCCCCCCCACCCCACCCCACATGGGGTCGGGTGGAGTAGGCCCCACAGTTGGCAGATAGCATGAAGTAAAATAAATAGGAGATAGTAAATAGCCATCCCTAAGCTTCTAACCGCTGGGAACAGGTCATGTGACGCAAGAAGTTACGGGACAATAGTGGAACATTTACATACAGAATGAAGCTAATGTGAACAACCTTCTAACTAATGAAATAGAAAGAATATGTGGTCTCATTTTGTCAGCAGATAATACCTGGTGTTCCAGAACGTTATAAAATATTCAGGAAATACTCTCAGAGTCAATATGCCTTTGTGAATCCTCTTATTCAGGTTTTTCTTTCATATCACAACTATTATCCACTACTATCATTATTATTATCATTATCATTTTAATATTACAAACAATTTATAGATAGAGACACTTATGCAACGTATGGGAATCTTTATTCAGGAAACGTTTCGCCACATAGTGGCTTCATCATTCTACAGTATTGATGGACTGAACACATCGACTCCAGGCTGAGGGACTGATTACCTTAAACTCCTCCTCTCTTTACGTCTTTATACTGATGAAGCCACTGTGTGGCGAAACTTTTCCTGAATAAAGATTCCCATATGTTGCATAAGTGTCTCAATCTACAACTTGTCGGTTTTTCAAACCATTCATCACAAACAATTTAATTCAGTAATTCACTAAACTAGTTGCAATCACCATGTTGTAATCAACTATGTGTACTTTGTGCCGCTGTATCTAGACGGGTTAGGACCTGAATAGGTCACTCTGCCTCTTTTTGGGGCTATCATAGGATGATCGCCCTTGCATACCCATGCCCAAATGAACCCCCATGACTCCTTCCATACTACCGATGTTATATCACTCAAGTTGCAATCTGTATTGCAGCACTCCACCTAGAGCACCTGTAACCCTACGTTACCTGTGTGCAGTAATAGCTGGCTGGGTTATATCGACGATCGCGACAGACCTAACATGTTATATATATCGACGTTCTCGATGAACTTAACAGGATGTTTAATATTATATCGATGTTCACGACGGGTGTACCATGATGTTCAGTTTGTAGACTCAGCAGCCCCTTACTCAGCAACGTGTAATTGGAATTCTATGAGACAAGACTACTTAGTCTCCCAAATAATGCTAGGTGGTTCAGATACGTAGATGATGTATTTTGGTTTTGCCCTGGAGATCGCAGCATTAATGAGTTCCTATCAAGACTTAATAATTTGGTACCTTCTATTAAGTTCACATTAGAGCATGAAATAGATAACACTCTACCTTCCTAAATGTTTTAATCCATCGTGTAGACAGAAAATTAAAATTTGCAGTTTACAGGAAGACCACCAATGTGTCATCAAACATTCATTATTATCCCAATCATGAATCTAGGGTTAAAAGAAATGTTTTCCTTACAGTGTTCCTGAGAGCTTTGTGTATCTGCAGTCCTGAGTATTTAGAAGATGAAATCAACAAGATATTTAACATAGCCACAAAACTGAGTTATTCCAGGGATTTTGTTGAGAAGACCAATTGTCAGCTAGGAAGACTTTCTACAGGACTGAACCTAAGGAAACACCTAACAGGAAAAATGTATTGGTCTTGACATACGATGACAATTTGGTCTGTCAGCTTGAGGCACTAAAAAAGTTCAACATAAATCTTGCTTTCAAAAACACTGGGACAGTGAAACAGAGATTGATTAAAAACACACCGACTAATAATGTCTATGGTATCTACAAGATTCCATGTACACTTTGCCCATTTTCATACATTGGTCAGACAGGAACCGATTATCCCAACACCAGTACTTAATCAGTACAGGCCAGGGGTCGAATGCGATCTTAATCATGTCAGTTCTTGCAATCACCCACAGGGGTGCGCTGCCGCCCAGATAATTGTACCCAACACTTTCATCATGAAACATCTTGAAACATGATAGGAATGCCGTATGTAACTTAAATTATGGGCTGTACAAACTCGATAGCTATTTAGTGAATCTATTGTTCTTTTTGCCAGGGGGTTTCGTGATGTTCCAGTTTGTAGACCAGAGTCTACAAACTGAACCTCATGGTACGCCCGTCGTGAACCTCGATATAATATATAACATTCTAAGTCCATCGTGAGAGTCGATATATAACATGTTAGGTTAGTAGCGATCGTCGATATAACCCACCCAGCTACTACTGTACACAAATAACCCGCACATAAAAGAGAGAAGCTTACGACGACGTTTCGGTCCGACTTGGACCATTTACAAAGTCACAGTGTGACTTTGTAAATGGTCCAAGTCGGACCGAAACGTCGTCGTAAGCTTCTCTCTTTTATGTGCGGGTTATTTGTGTATCGTTCCAGTCACGGTATTGTGCCTTTTTTTGTTATTCAGCTACTACTGCATACTGGTATCGTAGGGTTACAGGTGCTCTTGGTGGTGTGCTGCAATACAGACTGCAACTTGAGTGATGTAACATCGGTAGTAAGGAAGTATTGATGTGCAACTGTGATCATCCTATGATAGCCCAAAAAAGAGGCACAAAGTACACATAGTTATTGTAACAAGATGATTGCAACTAGTTTAGTTGATTACCGAATTAAATTGTTTGTAATATTAAGATGATTATGATAATAATAATGATAGTAGTGGATAATAGTTGTGATATGAAAGACAAACCTGAATAAGAGGATTCACACAGGCATATTAATTGACTCTGAGAGTATTTCCTGAATATTTTAGAACGTTCTGGAACACCAGGTTGTTCACATTAGCTTCATTCTGTATGTAAATGTTCCACTATTGTCCCGTAACTTCTTACGTCACATGACCTGTTCCCAGCGGTTAGAAGCTTAGGGATGGCTGTTTACTATCTCCTATTTATTTTACTTCATGCTATCTGCCAACTGTGGGGCCTACTCCACCCGACCCCATGTGGGGTGGGGTGGTTGGCATTCAACTGGACTTCTCTCTCCCTTAGTCAGGTATCGGCTGGTGGCACCGCACTACCATACCCTGAAAAACAACTTTCACTGTTTCTCCTGTTGCTGCCCTTGCAACATTGCACAGCTCCTTATGACGTACTGAGAAGTGTGAAAGTACTTGAGCTTAAGATTTCCACCCCACGTGGCTTGTCTTGCATATATATGTATGTATAGTTGTATATATGTATGTATTATGTATGTATGTATAGTATATATATATATATATAATTTTATATATATATATTTTATAATATATATATAATATATATATAAAATATATTCAAGATTATCACAATTGAACACATGTTGACAATGGTGTTCCCTGCCCTTCCCACTTTACAGTGCCTCCAGCCTGGGTGGTGGAGCCAGCCAGTACCAGTGTGGCTCTGGGTGCCACTGTAGCATTACACTGTCTGGCCAAGGGGTTCCCCAACCCTACCATCGCTTGGCGCAAAGAGACAGGTGAGTACCACACCTTGTTGGTGGTAGTTAACGAGTGATGACCTTTGTTGGTGGTAGTGTGTACTCACCTATTTGTACTCACCTATTTGTGGTTGCAGGGGTCGAGTCACAGCTCCTGGCCCCGCCTCTTCGCTGATTGCTACTAGGTCCTCTCTCTCCCTGCCCCATGAGCTCTATCATACCTCGTCTTAAAACTATGTATGGTTCCCGCCTCCACTGCGTCACTTTCTAGGCTATTCCACGGCCTGACTACTCTATGACTGAAGAAATACTTCCTAACATCCCTTTGATTCATCTGAGTCTTCAACTTCCAATTGTGACCTCTTGTGTCTGTGTCCCTTCTCTGGAACTTCCCGTCTTTGTCCACCTTGTCTATTCCGCGCAGTATTTTATATGTCGTTATGTCTCCCCTGACCCTCCTGTCCTCCAGTGTCGTCAGGCCGATTTCCCTCAACCTTTCTTCGTAGGACAATCCCCGTAGCTCTGAGACTAGTCTTGTTGCAAACCTTTGCACTTTCTCTAATTTCTTGACGTGCTTGACTAGGTGTGGATTCCAAACTGGTGCTGCATACTCCAGTATGGGCCTGACGTAAATGGTATACAGAGTCTTAAACGAATCCTTACTGAGGTATCGGAACGCTATCCGTAGGTTTGCCAGGCGCCCGTATGCTGCAGCAGTTATCTGATTGATGTGCGCCTCAGGAGATATGCTCGGTGTTATACTCACCCCCAGATCTTTTTCCTTGAGTGAGGTTTGCAGTCTTTGGCCATCTAAACTATATTGTGTCTGCGGTCTTCTTTGCCCTTCCCCAATCTTCATGACTTTGCATTTGGCAGGGTTAAATTCAAGTAGCCAGTTTCTGGACCAGGCTTGTAGCCTGTCCAGGTCTCTTTGTAGTCCTGGCTGATCCTCATCCGATTTGATTCTTCTCTTTAACTTCGTATCATCTGCAAACAAGGACACTTCTGAGTCTATCCCTTCCGTTATGTCGTTCACATATACCAAGAACAGCACAGGTCCTAGGACTGACCCCTGTGGAACCCCGTTTGTCACAGGCGCCCACTCTGACACCTCGTCGCGTACCATGACTCGTTGTTGCCTCCCTGTCAGGTATTCTCTGATCCATTGCAGTGCCTTTCCTGTTATGAGTGCCTGATCCTCTAGCTTTTGCAGTAACCTCTTGTGAGGAACTGTGTCGAAGGCCTTCTTGCAGTCCAAAAATATGCAGTCGATCCACCCCTCTCTCTCTTGTCTTACTTCTGTCACCTTGTCATAAAACTCTAGTAGGTTTGTGACACAGGATTTTCCTTCCCTGAAACCGTGCTGGTTTTCAATTACACACTTGTTTCTTTCCAGGTGCCCCACCACTCTCCTCCTGATGATCTTCTCCATGACCTTGCATACTATACACGTTAGTGATACAGGTCTGTAGTTTAGTGCCTCATGTCTGTCTCCCTTTTTAAAAATTGGGACTACATTGTTAGGTGTGATAACCTTTGATGGTTGTAGTGAGATGACATTTGTTGGTGGCAGTGTAGTGACCTTTGTTGGTGGTATTGTGGTGACCTTTATTGGTGGTAATGTGGTGACGTTTCTTGGTGGTATTGTGGTGACCTTTATTGGTTTTATTGTGGTGACCTTTGTTGGTAGTATTGTGGTGACCTTTGTTTGTGGTATTGTGGTGACCTTTGTTTGTGGTATTGTGGTGACTTTTGTTGGTGGTATTGTGGTGACCTTTGTTGCTGGTAGTGTGGTAACCTTTATTGATGGTAGTATGGTAGCCTTCGTTGGTAGTATTGTGGTGACCTTTGTTGGTGATTATTGATGTGACCTTTGCTGGTGGTAGTGTGGCTACCTTTGTTTGTGGTATTGTGGGTTTTTGCTGGTGGTATTGTGTGACCTTTGTTGTTGGTATTGTGGTGAACTTTGCTGGTGGTATTGTGGTGACTTTTGCTGGTTGTAGTATGGTGACCTTTGTTGGTGGTATTGGTGGTATTGTGATGACCTTTGTTGGTAGTATTGCTGTGACCTGTGTTGGTGGTATTTTGGTGACCATTGTTGGTCTATTGTGGTGACCTTTGTTGTTGTTGTGGTGACTTTTGTTGGTGGTATGTGGTGACCTTTGTTGGTGGTATTGTGGTGACCTTTGTTGGTGGTATTGTGGTGACCTTTGTTGGTGGTATTGTGGTGATCTGTGTTGGTGGTATTGTGGTGACTTTGTTGGTGGTATTGTGGTGACCTTTGTTGGTGGTATTGTGGTGATCTGTGTTGGTGGTATTGTGGTGACCTTTGTTGGTGGTATTGTGGTGATCTGTGTTGGTGGTATTGTGGTGATCTGTGTTGGTGGTATTGTGGTGACCTTTGTTGTTGTTGTGGTGACTTTTGTTGGTGGTATTGTGGTGACCTTTGTTGGTGGTATTGTGGTGACCTTTGTTGGTGGTATTGTGGTGACCTTTGTTGGTGGTATTGTGGTGACCTTTGTTGGTGGCGTTGTGGTGACCTTCTAATACTCCGCTCTTACTCAAGTTCTGTATTTATATGTAAGGTATTGCTTAGAGAATATTTTCGAAGACGTATCGCTCAAGGCAGAGCTTAACCAGTCTAGAATAAAGGCTTAGGCCTTTATTCTAGACGACTGATATATTTTACACGGTACTGATGTATATTTTACTGTACTGATGTGTTTTTCACTGTACTGATGTGTTTTTCACTGTACTGGTGTGTTTTTCACTGTACTGATGTGTTTTTCACTGTACTGGTGTGTTTTTCACTGTACTGGTGTGTTTTTCACTGTACTGGTGTGTTTTTACTGTACTGGTGTGTTTTTCACTGAACTGATGTGTTTTTCACTGTACTGGTGTGTTTTTCACTGTACTGATGTGTTTATCACTGTACTGATGTGTTTTTCACTGTACTGGTGTTTTTTTACTGTACTGGTGTGTTTTTCACTGTACTGGTGTGTTTTTCACTGTACTGGTGTGTTTTTCACTGTACTGGTGTGTTTTTCACTGTACTGATGTGTTTTTCACTGTACTGGTGTGTTTTTCACTGTACTGGTGTGTTTTTCACTGTACTGGTGTGTTTTTCACTGTACTGATGTGTTTTTCACTGTACTGATGTGTTTTTCACTGTACTGATGTGTTTCTCACTGTACTGATGTGTTTTTCACTGTACTGATGTGTTTTTCACTGTACTGACGTATTTTTCACTGTACTGATGTGTTTTTCATTGTGCTGATGTATTTTTCACTGTACTGATGCATTTTACACTGGCCTGTGTACCAAAGAATTACCTCCCTGTAATTCTCAGTACAAGGAAATATAGAAACGTCTCTTATTAATCATAATGCACATCATATTTCAAATTTGAGTTCTGGTATCTATAAACTAGACAATTTTATAGTTCAGAATTATTGTTCGTAATCTTAAGGGTAAAAAATTAATTTTTTACAAAAAATGCAGAGTGTGTTCCTGGTCAAAACGAATTTGATTTGAATTTTATACATATGTTGGACAAATATGTGTGTGTGAATGGTAGGATTTGGGAATCACGTTCGTGGACTGGGCCAGTGAACCTACTACAGTGCTCCTTCCTTATGCTTTTTCTTTGAGCTTTTGGCCTGAGATGATTAATTTTAATTACCCGAACCATTTTTTCCGTATTGTTTGGATCTAATTTTAATATATTCAGAGGTTCGAATTATTTAAAATTTACCTTTTTTGACATTTTTTATTGTTATTATGATCAGGAATAAGCGCTAAACCCACATGGGTCATGCAGGGCATCTTTTTTTTTTTAAAAACTTAGCTATTATTTATAATTGGTGAGTCGTCCCCTGCTCAGAGTCAGGTAGCAGGCCACTGGGTGAGTCGTCCCCTGCTCAGAGTCAGATAGCAAGTCACTGGGTGAGTCGTCCCCTGCTCAGAGTCAGGTAGCAGGCCACTGGGTGAGTCGTACCCTGCTCAGAGTCAGGTAGCAGGTCACTGGGTGAGTCGTCCCCTGCTCAGAGTCAGGTAGCAGGCCACTGGGTGAGTCGTCCCCTGCTCAGAGTCAGGTAGCAGGTCACTGGGTGAGTCGTCCCCTGCTCAGAGTCAGGTAGCAGGTAACTGGGTGAGTCGTCCCCTGCTCAGAGTCAGGTAGCAGGTCACTGGGTGAGTCGTCCCCTGCTCAGAGTCAGGTATCAGGTCACTGGGTGAGTCGTCCCCTGCTCAGAGTCAGGTAGCAGGTCACTGGGTGAGTCGTCCCTTGCTCAGAGTCAGGTATCAGGTCACTGGGTGAGTCGTCCCCTGCTCAGAGTCAGGTAGCAGGTCACTGGTTGAGTCGTTCCCCCTGCTCAGAGTCAGGTAGCAGGTCACTGGGTGAGTCGTCCCCTGCTCAGAGTCAGGTAGCAGGTCACTGGGTGAGTCGTCCCTGCTCAGAGTCAGGTAGCAGGTCACTGGGTGAGTCGTCCCCTGCTCAGAGTCAGGTAGCAGGTCACTGGGTGAGTCGTCCCCTGCTCAGAGTCAGGTAGCAGGTCACTGGGTGAGTCGTCCCCTGCTCAGAGTCAGGTAGCAGGCCACTGGGTGAGTCGTCCAGTGCTCAGAGTCAGGTAGCAGGTCACTGGGTGAGTCGTCCCCTGCTCAGAGTCAGGTAGCAGGTCACTGGGTGAGTCGTCCCCTGCTCAGAGTCAGGTAGCAGGTCACTGGGTGAGTCGTCCCCTGCTCAGAGTCAGGTAGCAGGTCACTGGGTGAGTCGTCCCCTGCTCAGAGTCAGGTAGCAGTCACTGGGTGAGTCGTCCCCTGCTCAGAGTCAGGTAGGAGGTCACTGGGTGAGTCGTCCCCTGTCAGAGTCAGGTAGCAAGGTCACTGGGTGAGTCGTCCCCTGCTCAGAGTCAGGTAGCAGGTCACTGGGTGAGTTGTCCCCTGCTCAGAGTCAGGTAGCAGGTCACTGGGTGAGTCGTCCCTTGCTCAGAGTCAGGTAACAGGTCACTGGGTGAGTTGTCCCCTGCTCAGAGTCAGGTAGCAGGTCACTGGGTGAGTCGTCCCCTGCTCAGAGTCAGGTAGCAGGTCACTGGGTGAGTCGTCCCCTGCTCAGAGTCAGGTAGCAGGTCACTGGGTGAGTCGTCCCCTGCTCAGAGTCAGGTAGCAGGTCACTGCGTGAGTCGTCCCCTGCTCAGGTCAGGTAGCAGGTCACTGGTGAGTCGTCCCCTGCTCAGAGTCAGGTAGCAGGTCACTGGGTGAGTTGTCCCCTGCTCAGAGTCAGGTAGCAGGTCACTGGGTGAGTCGTCCCTTGCTCAGAGTCAGGTAACAGGTCACTGGGTGAGTTGTCCCCTGCTCAGAGTCAGGTAGCAGGTCACTGGGTGAGTCGTCCCCTGCTCAGAGTCAGGTAGCAGGTCACTGCGTGAGTCGTCCCTGCTCAGAGTCAGGTAGCAGGTCACTGCGTGAGTCGTCCCCTGCTCAGAGTCAGGTAGCAGGTCACTGCGTGAGTCGTCCCCTGCTCAGAGTCAGGTAGCAGGTCACTGCGTGAGTCGTCCCCTGCTCAGAGTCAGGTGTTACCTCAGTGTTTAAGATGTACAATGTGCTTCTCTTGCCCCTCCTTCCAATTCCTCTGAAGATATGTGTGAAAGCACATGAAATCGCTCAGGTGATAATTTAATGTTTTTGCCATCACGCGTTTATTGTTATTTCTTCCATACACACACACACACACACACACACACACACACACACAACACACACACACACACAAATATATATATATATATATATATATATATATATATATATATATATATATATATATATATATAACATAAGAACATAAGAAAGAAGGAACACTGCAACAGGCCTGCTGACCCATGCGAAGCATTTCCATGCCAACCGCCCGGTCAAGAACAATGACCACCTAGTCAGGTTACTTCCACTTAAGGAAGGAGCATGGCACCAGACCTGAGAGCCCAAGCTAGTCAGGCCCAACTCACACCCACCCACACCCACTCATGTATTTATCCAACCTATTTTTAAAACTACACAACGTCTTAGCGTCTATGATGGTACTCGGAAGTTTGTTCCACACATCTACAACTCTATTACCAAACCAGTGCTTTCCTATATCCTTCCTGAATCTGAACTTTTCCAACTTGAAGCCATTGCTGCGAAGCTCTGTCTTGGCTGGCTATTTTCAGCACGCTATTTACATCCCCTTTATTTGTTCCTGTTTTCCATTTATACACCTCGATCATATCTCCCCTAATTCTACGCCTTTTTAGAGCGTGCAGATTCAGGTCCTCAGTCTATCCTCATAGGGAAGATTTCTGATATATGTGATCAGCTTTGTTATCCTCCTTTGTGCATTTTCCAGTGCATTTATATCCATTCTGTAATCTCGTGATCATAACTGTGCAGCATAATCTAAATGAGGCCTAACCAAGGATATATAGAGTTGAAGAACAACCTGAGGATTCCTGCTAACCAGAACTCCTAAATCCTTTTCGCCATCAGTAGTATTAAGATCTACACTATTCAGTTTATAAGTGGCATGGTTATTGTCCTGTCCAACATTTAGCACTTTGCATTTGTCTATAGTAAACTGCATCTGCCACTTCTCCGACCACTGCATCAGTCTATTCAAATCATCTTGGAGTGCACTAATGTCCTCAACAGAATGAATTGGGCGGCCTATTTTGGTGTCATCAGCAACTTTGCTTATGCCGCTATTTATTCCCTCGTCTGTATCGTTTATGTAAATTGTGAACAACAAGGGGCCCAACACTGACCCCTGTGGAACACCTCTTTTGATACGCCTATATATTGCCTCTCTTTTGACCTTTTAGATGTTTTAATCTATTGTTCATTCATTTGGGATCATTTTTGTTAGATCTAATTTCCCTACTCGGAACAAAAGTTGTCTGGGCAGCTAGAACTATGCTCTGAGAAACGTCGTATTGGCAACCAACACCAGCTACCTGACCCATAGTCAGATCATCCCGATTTAGCCCACCTAGATAATTTTTCAGTCCCAGGAATTCAGCCAATCGAAAGTCTGGGACAGAGACTTGATTGCAGTTTACTGGGTAATTCCATAATACTCTATATTGAAACTTAGTGATTTGTGATCACTTTCCCCAAGCTTATCATTAACCTCAAGATTATTAATTAGTGAATGTTTCTTGGCAAGAACCAAGTCAAGCAGATTGTTTCCTCTAGTTGTTTCTGTCACAAACTGTTTTGAAAAGCAATCCTGAACCGTATCAAGAAAGTCACTAGACTCAAGATTTCCTGTCACATTGTTCCAATTAATTTGTCTAAAGTTAAAATCCCCAATTAACACAACATTTCATATCTAGATTCCTTATGAATTTTGTCTCATAGCATCTTACTGCACTCCCTATCAAGGTTTGGGGGTTTATATATCACACCCAAAATTAATTTTTCATACCCCTCGAGAAACTGTAGCCAAACAGATTCTGTGTCCGATGATTCTATTTTTATATCATGTCTAACACAACAAGTTAAATTATCTCTGACATACATCGCCACTCCACCACTCTTCCTGTTGACCCTATCAGTGTGGAATAGTTTATAACCTTGTATGTTACATTCAGAAGGCATTTCCCTATCCTTCCAGTTGAACCAGGTCT